GTTTTCAGTATCTTTTGTCAGAAAAAAAAAAAAATCTCATTTTCCTAGTAAGCAGGGCACTGATGTTAGGTAATGAAACCACATCAGGGGTATTCTTTGCAGTAAATAGTGTGCTGACACAGTTGCCTCTGCAACAGCTCTTGGCCATGCATACAAGAGCTATGACAGAATCATGGTCCTGCATACACACCAGATTATACCAAGCCACAAACACTGTGAATAGACAAAACATTCTTACATAAAAGTAGCAGGCTCAGATCACTGCAACAGAGGTTATTTGCACCAATTTTACACTTGGTGTAGTCGGAGTCTTCTTCGTAAATCAAGGACAAATATCTTACTGGCATCCCAGTGTCTAGTTCTGAAAAGTTTTTAGACCTTATCTGTTTTTGGATGACACATCTATGAACCGCTGTTTTATGAGAAACTCAAAAAGAGTTAAACAGATGTCTGTAGAGAAAAGTCAAACTCCCCCCATTCCTTTCTCTAACCTGCCTAGCAAATCCTTTCACTTAGTCCAGACATTCTGTAATATCCCAAAAATCCAAACATGTTAAATGCTAGCCTTTCCTATCTGGCATTTTTTAATAAAATAGCACAAGACAGAGAAGGAAGTGACCCTTTTGTGCCATGTCCTGTCTATTCCCCAAGGTCCTGAGCATGCTCATTCCCTACAGAAAAATGTTTCCACTGCTTTGTTCAGTCTAAAAAATATCTGAATCCTGTTTTTCTATTTCATGCTGCTAAAATAGATGATGTCACAGCACAGACTTAATCACAAACTGCAATTAATATTATCAGGCTCCCACTGAGATAGAAACATACCATAGACTTCAATACGTTTGTGGCAAATCCATTCAGACTGGAATATCACCATTCTTCCCTTACATGTTAGAAGTAATTCAGGAAAAGTTAAGCTATATTGCTACAAATACCACAAAGCTTTTGGCTCCCAGTTGGTGATAAACTCTCAGAGATCTTACAATTTACCCAGCTCATCAGATAATGAACACTTTTTTTGACACCCCAGGTCATGACTGAAGGATTCTTGTCTTATACTTTCAGAAAGACTTGGATTCAATGAGAAAACTAATTATGATGATTACATTTTACTCCTGTCAGTTCATAAATCTCTCATGCAGGCTACTCTAAGTCCTTTCTAAGATTAAATCATAATCTGATTACATTGACAACAGAGGATGATGGAGTTGGTAACAGGCATCAATTTGAAGGAAAACTCCTCGGCTGAATGAATGAGGCTGCACTTAGTCTGTTGAAAGCCAGAGCAAAACTGAATGCCTTTTATATTGTGGCTATCAAATGTTCAGAGATGTAGCAAAGAATCATTTTATAGCAGTATGGAAGAAATATAGGCCAATTCAAAAGATTCATCTGTAAAACAGTCTCACTATTGTGTGCTGAATTTTACATAAGTAACACCCAGAACAGAACACTTACCACAGCAAGTAAAATGACACTTATTTAAGTTTTGATACAAGACACAGCTTTGTGATAAGTTCTGATACTGTTTCTTTCAGGGGCTTAGTGACAGATGGCAGGGACAAGGCAGAGCTCTTCAATGAGTTTTTTGCCTCTGTCTTCTTAAACAGGAATATAAACAAACCCTCAATATGCATCATGGACGTCAACAAGGGGAACATCGGCCGACCAACGGTCAGTGCCAGCACGGTAAAAGGACACTTGGCGGAACTGTACATGTTCAGATCACCGGGACCAGAGGGACTCCACCCACAGGTAATGAAGGAATTAGCGAGTGCCGTAGCTGACCCACTAGCAAGGATATATGAGCACTCATGCTGCTCAGGTCAGGTCCCGGAGGATTGGAAGAGGGCCAATGTCATCCCAGTCTTCAGACCAGTCAGCTTTACTTCTATCTCGGGGAAAATCCTAGAAAAAATTATCAAAGGACACTTCTGTAGGAGCCTGCTGGCTAATGTGATGCAGAGGGGCAACCAACATGGGTTTATAGTGGGCAGGTCCTTCCTGACTAACCTAGTTTTTTGGGTTTTTTTTTATGACAAGGCCACCAAAGGTTTAGATGCAGGAGTCAAGGTGGATGTTATCTATCTGGACTTCAAGAAGGCCTTTGACACGGTATCCCATAGCATCCTTATTAATAAACTGAGGAGATTTGCCATGGAAGATTATACGGTAGAATGGGTAGCAAACTGGCTCAGGGGTTGCACCCAGCGGGTGGTGGTGAATGGGTCAGTGTCAACCTGGAAAGATGTGGGCAGTGGAGTCCCTCATGGCTCAGTTCTGGGGCTGGTGCTGTTCAACATCTTCATTCACAGATGACACAAAAATATGGGGTGAAGCTAACACCCTGGAGAGGAGGAACCAGACCCAGGCTTA